AACTAGTGGAAAACAGTTTCATTATCAATTATGAATATGGCCAAGGACGTGATCTAATCTATGATTATGAGGAAATTGAAATGTATATGCGCAATCTTGTTAGTAGTCTTTGTTTATTTGATACAGATAATTTACCCATGCTCAACTATCAATTTGAATTGTATAACGAGAATAACTCTCTTATTACCAATATTCGACGACGAATTAATCAAACATCATTATCTGTGGTTGATCAAGCACAATTTAAAAGTTTACTTGTTCGAATGAATCACGATGAAATTGTTCATTGTTTAGGTTTATTAGATCATGTGTTCACATATCTATGCAACATTCACGATGATGTATCTGGTAGCAGCACACAAGCATTTGTTGAACAGCACATGAACACTAATACATGCGTCAATGAGCATTTTTTTCGGCGACCACCATTTTCAACGGTTCCACTCATTCACATAACTGCCTTGTGCGAGCTGGTAGAAGTAGTAGCATTTGATATTGTACTATGTCAGCATGTCAAAACAGGACTACGTGAAGCAGTACTCGATGACAGAGGAAAAACCAAGTTTGTTGCTCAAACTTTTGGTGAAGTCAATATCTCGCCAATATTGAAATCGGCAATCATATGGATTAGAGTACTTAAAAGACTTCTGATTCGAGTACTCAATGCTTATGTCGATCTAAAGATACCTTTACAATAATATATAGAACGTATCGATCTCTGGTCTGGTGACATTTCTGAAGTTGATCTGCAAACGTTTGAGCTCGATGAAGACATTCTACTTGAGCATACATATTGTATCCTTAATCATGTGGAAAAAGACCATCCAACGTCAATTATAAATGATTTTATAACTACTGCTGATAGTCAACAGCAGATTAGCTCGCATATTACCATTGGTAATACCCAAAGCTCTAATGCAAGAACTTGGTATCAGAGTACAAATCAACCTGTCAAAAAAATAATACTTGGCAAATTAGAACAAAAACTACGCGTAAAATCTCCTTTTTCTTTCATTTTTACTAAGATAAATAAACAATAAATTGTGATTCTTTCAATGACGATATTTGTCGAACATGCTAGGAAACAGAGCATATTCAGACAAGGGTTTCAATAAAATAAAAGTCTACCTAAATCTACGTAAATCAATCATATATTTTCCGTAAAAAAAGTAAAATATCCTGATCGGGATATAGAATATGAACCTCGAGAATTATTAAAAAAAAGGTTGCTGACCGGAAAAAAGAGTTAACCATGAGGAAAAAAGAATCTAGTGTAGTTTTTCCTCCTCTTTCTAATGGTGATGTCAAAACTTTCCGCGAACATCATCATTTTTTCGCTAATAAATTTTATTTCAAAAAATCGAATTTATATCCCGATTGGACTATATGTTTTTTGGCTATATCCTGATCGGGATATATTTTGATTCAAAACGGGATATATATCCCGATCGGGATATAGAGCATGCGTCTGTACTGCCATACATCCGTATTCATCGGCCTTATAACCCAAATCTCCACATTGCTGCTAACATCGACGTAATGGACAATTGCATTCACATAATGGACAGCCTTGTTCATCTGTGTTATAACCCCAATTACCACAATTTCTTTTACATGTAATTTGTTTTAGACATAAGCATGTACATGTAGGACAACCGTTATCGTCTAATATATAGCCATTATCACAATTTTGTACACAGTTCAATAGTGGACATTCAGTGGTTGCTGGTTGATCGTTTTTCTTGAGCAATAACGCTGTTTCTACCAAACATACTACGATTATTATTGATAAGCCGTTCATTATTATATTATCATATGAATAAAGCTGCAAATATAAACTGCTGCAAAATAAACTGCTATTTTCAATAAATGGAACCTCTATAAAAATTCTCTTTCTCTCATCAACATCGCTTTTCTTGTTTATGTTGGGACTGGTGTACAACTTGCTCAATTTCGTGCCAATTATTTTATCAACAAAAGGGATCGGATAACCATTTTTTATTGCTATATCTCTAATGTTATTTAATTCACCATCAAGTAACTGGTATGAAGAACAAACATTAATTGCTCGATGAATCATACCGGTGATAGCGGATCGTTTGTAAGACAACGGTACATATGAATTCCATTTCAATATGAGACCAGTAAAGGTGCTCTTTCGAAAAATGGTTGTCGAATAACCACAAACTGACCTGATAACGTGAACATCAAGGAATGGTAGCTTATTATTTGATTCTATTTCATAAGCAAAATCGATGTTGGGATGAAAACTATTCAATATTGATAAAATATCATCAATAGAGGCATTCACGTCTACTAGAGTAAACGTGCCATCAACATATCTTCTCCAAAATCTTACTCCATTTCTGTATAGCTCATCATGCAGAGATTCCTCGAGATGTATCATAAAAATGTCAGCAATGATACTTGCTAAAGGTCCACCTATACTAACACCATCAATCTGTTCATATAACTGTCCATTAAACATGAAATGTGTGTCGGATGTAGCTAATACTAAAAGGGGACGAAAGTCATCCTTATCAATACATTTGTCAAATTTCTTCTTTTTCCGACTTAAACAAGAACCACATTTTCCGTAAAACTTATCAATAATTAAATCTATGGTGTAGGATGACGGCACCCTAGTAAATAGATTTTTAACGTCAAATGATACCATTTTTAGGTTTAATTAGGTTTAATAATTTAACAGATGACGATTATTGAGAAACCACCGATTTCGGTTCAGAATTCATTTAATTTTAAGGATAAAATACCTCCGGGTTTACAATCGAACATAGTATATGATATAAAATGTCAAGACTGTAATTCACGTTATGCTGGTAAAACGATCCGACAAGTGTGTAGACGATTTTGGGAACATGGGCTTGAAAAACCTGCCGTATTTTCACCTTCCGTTACCCAAAATAACCCCCCCCATAATAGAAGCCTCCGGGGCTTCTAAACTGTCCAAGTGTTCAAAATTTTTAGGGGGAGCTGTATTATGAAGGGGCTACTATTACGACTTTCGTACAAAAATTTTCAGAAAAAAAAGGAGATTTTGAATTTCGATGCTCTTGCCTTTCTAATCACGGTAATCTCAATTAATCTGAAAAAAATCTTTTTCGAGATAAAAAATGTAAATTTTATTCGTTTCCTTTTTTTACACACGACATCACACAAGAACAATTAAAGTAAAAAAACGCGTGTCGATCAAATGTGTCGTTTAAAAAATTTAAATTATTTTTCCGACGTAATAGAAGCCCTTGGGCTTCTAATATACCTTCCACATCGATTCCTCCAGAGGGGGCTTCTAATACGGGGAGGCTTCTATTATGGGGGGAGGGGGTTAACGGAATACCAGTAGTTCAGTCAGGAAGGATTCATTTATCAGGAACAGCTAAAACGGAAGCCTCAAAAAGAATAACGGATCAAACAAAGAGCATGAACCTCCCTGATTGGTACGTTTTGAATATTGAAGAAGACGACTATGATGTGATTGCATCTGCAGATAACTCCGCTCTTGAAAAACATGCGCATGATTCTTTTCATAAAATAGACTGGGACAATTGGCGTATTGTGGATCGAGATAATATAGAGTATAGGCTGTTAATAAAAGAGTCTTTATTTATTTTGGCATTTAAGCCCAATCTAAATGGTACGGTTAGATCGGTACCATTAATTGTATTTCCAAATGGTTTATCAAAGACTAGTAAAAATGATTTTGATCCAGGAGGTGACAGAGCAAATAACGAATGATTACTAATAATGAACAGTACAGCCGAGAACAACTGTTTTCTTCTAGGAGAAACGAAAAGAATGAAGAAGAAAATTCTTTCTCGTTCTGTTCAGTTAGTACGAGTGCTATATATACCCATGCTTTTTCTTATTCTATTTCACTTAATTTTCTTGTACAGTATATTTCTCTTGAAAATGACTGTATGGACAGTCGAAACGTCGAGTAATTTTATGTTAACTTAATTTAATTTTAATTAAATAAAATATGGATGCTGCTTTCGTGAAACGATTAGTATTTTTTGAAATTTTTGCAGCTCACTTTTCTCGAAAAATTTCTGTGCAGAAAACTGATAAATCTAAAACAACCTAACTTCTGAACCCATTTCTCATAGACTTTGGTTTTTTGGTTATACAAGCAGTAAAACGTTCTGAATCCAGAGTTCCAGTCTTGCCATCTTACAAAGAATTAAATTTTGCGTCTTTTGATATATAAAGAAAGTTTCTGAATTCAAATCATTAATTTAGACAATTAATTTAATTTGAAAAAATTGAAAAGCCGGTTGAGAACTAATTATGAGTCCAGCTGAGGGAGCGAAAACATTGTACAAATATGCGTTATTCCTCCCTATGGGAGCTATCAACTCGTCATATACTATTCATTTTTATTACTCCTTTTATTCCCAACAGTAGCAGAATTCTCACAAGCAGAATTTAAGAATTATGATATATGGAGCACTACATATGCTTAGAATCATGTTAATAATAACAGAATTTTATTGGAATTCTGATATATACATTAGAATTTAATCAGAGTTCGGAGGTCTATATAAGAGTTTAAGCGGAGTTCTGATGTTCACAACAGAACTTAACCAAAATTCTGACCCACAAGGATAGTTTTGATACATTACATACATATATCAGTAACTAAAAAACAAAATTCTGCTTAGAATTCTGTTTCTACATCAGCATTTAATCAGAATTCTGACTCCCAAGAAGAATTCAGTTATATTTCATAGATATACTCCAACGTCGCCAATCAAAATTCTGCTTAGAATTGTGTTTGTTCAGCAGAATTTTGTTAGAACTCTGATTAACAAACCGAATTTTGTTACGTTAGATACTCATAGTACCTAATGAAACAAAATTCTGCTTAGCATTTTGTTTTTCCAGCAGAATTTAGTTATATATCATACATATACTATCGCCTTAAAATCAAAATTCTACTTAGAATTGTGTATGTCTAGCAGATCTGTACGAGAATTCTGATTCCGAAACAGAATTTTGTAACGTTACATTGATGTATTATCTGTTGAAAAACAAAATTCTACTAAGAATTTTGTTTTCGCAGCAGAATTTAGTTATGTCAGATGCTCCTGGTACCTAACGAAATACTAAATCCTGCTTAGAGTTTTGCTTTCCCAGAAACTTTCTTTTTGTTAGAATTTTGATGCCCACATGGAGTTTTGTTATATTTTACACATATGCTGCCGTGTAAAATTCAAGATTCGAAGCAGAATTTTGTTTGAAATCTGGTATCTAAGCAGAGTATTTTTATGTGAAATAAAATTCCGTTTCAAATTTTTTTTCTTCCGAGTAGCTACCTAACTCGACTTCTCATATAAATGAAAATTTCAAAATCATGTATTCTTCTCCATTAGCAAAAAGTTTTTCTTAACTTATAAATTTATGCACTTTATAAATGGTATTGGACAGTTCTCGTATTAAGGCACAAAGTCTAAACCCAAAAGTTTTCATATAATAAATTGATAAAATTTATAAATGAGATGAGACTTCCATATAAGTCTGGCAAAAAAGCAAAAGATAAATTTTTTTTATGGACTGAAAAAGTGAGTACAATATAGAGTCGGTAAGTGTGTCCGTCCTTATACATGATAACTCTTCAAAGAGCAAATCGCTGTGTTACAGCAAACAATGTCATTATTTTCTGTTCTTTTTTACGTGAACATTGATCTATTCTCGGTTTTCGTAAAAGACTTTTCGTCTCATCATCAAAAAAAAATTCTAATTAATATACATCATTCGACAGAAAATTTTACGGGCTACAAAATGATATACAAAACATTGAGAAATAAGAAAGCTAGGTGAGCTGCTGCTACGATACCTACGTAAGCCAGAACTGATTCGGTCTTTGATTTAGTTAAGGACTTTGTTTTTACCTTAGATGATAGTGTTGACATGTTCTTTTCAGTAGCTGCCTAATTCGACTTAGAATATAAACATAGAATTCCAATCATTGCCTTGCATACCTACTGCTAGCACAAGTTATAGATAGTACTATCATATATAACATTCTTAACACTCTCTGTTTGACGCTCTCTCTGTATCAACATATGTGTAACTAAAAGTGAGAAGTAGAAGTACAAATAGATTTAGATTTATATAAATATAAGTCATATATTTAGACATGCATATCCCTGTGAGAGGTAAAAATAGATTTAGATGTATAGATATGTATATAATTCATACATACATATATATATATATATATATGTATATGTATATATACAGCTGTTTGCAAAAAAACTTGCATAACTATACTATGGGAGCTATTTAATTCTTTGTAAGATGGTAAGACTGGAACTCTGGATTCAGAACGTTTTACTGCTTTTATAGCCAAAAAACTAAAGTCTATGAGAAATGGGTTCAGAAGTTAGGTTTTTTTAGATTTATCAGTTTTTTGCACAGAAATTTTTCGAGAAAAGTGAGCTGCAAAAATTTCAAAAAATACGTGAGAAGATACAGAGTTTTCCGGTGAATCTCCTGATGTTTTCAAAATTGTTATGGAATCTGTTTTTGGATCAAGGCAAATATTTTTCTATTTTCAGTGTGTCGCAGTTCGACAACTCAGCACCCTTCAATATTTTGAGTGGTACTCAAACGGGAAAAATGCTGTCAGACATTAAAACTACAGGTTTTGTAGAGAATTCAATTCTCTGTCGATTGACATTAGAAAAAGCTCTTGGAACTACTGAACAGTATCCCAAAAACAAGGAACAA